CCCCAAAACCCCAAAACCCCAAAACCCCAAAACCCCGTATCGCAAAAATGCTAATGAAAAATTACAATAAATAATTAAAATAAAATGAATTTGCCTTTATGCAAAACAATTGGATGTCGTTCCCAAGTCACCAATTTTATCAGACCAACTGGAGACAACGGTTGGGAGGATAACATGTTGGCCTGATCAGAATGTTCCGACAGATATTACAAAGATAATCGAGTCACTAGGATCCCAACCCTTCAGGCTATATTAGAAGACTTTGAACTCTGTAAGTTAGTTCTAAAGCACCAGATTAACTCCATTCTAATTTCTACGGCCCTCTCAATGCTGATTTGAATTACAGAATTTGGACTTTAGCTTCCACCTACATTTTGATTACTTTTTGAATGATTCATAAGTTTTGCTAACTTCCTTGAGAAATAAATCATATTTTGAAGATTTCCACATAACCCTGATTTAGCCGAATACGTTCTAGAACAAATTGATCGTTTCAGACAGTATCATAATCCTGGAGGAATGTGGGAAGCATTCATTCCTCACTTTAAGACATTTAAAAGAGACCTAAATTCACTCAAGGGTAACACCTATACTATAGCTTTGGCTTTTGTGAACTAGCTATGATAAACTTGGATGCCTTTTTAATCTTGTGGACAGGTTTTATCTCAGTGTATTTTTCTAAAATTATATAATCTGGATATCAATTTACTATATCTCTTCTTGAAAAACAGCATCATTTCTTCCTTCTTTCTACTCTTTGATTCCTGATTGTGTGCAAGTTTAAGCTTTTAGAATACTTAACAGTGCCAGAAATCTATTGTGTGGTCTAATCAGAATTTAGTTAGAAGTATCAGAACTTTAGAATTTTTAAAAGTTTTCAAAATTCCCTACATAACCTCTTAAATTACCTTTAGAAGACTATGAAAATGCCAAAAGAAATGAAGACTTGCAGAAATATTGTAGTATATCTATTGAGACCAAGGAACTCCTTAACATGATCTTTGAGTCCAACCTCTACAAACAATTCAACAAGCAGAAGATGTACAGAACCTTTGCAAATATGAAAGATGGAGTTGAACAGGAGTGCTATATTTCATTTTCTTGGGCTGAGAAGAAGCAACAAGAAATCAGAGAAATGATTGAGAACTCAGAGTACAAGAAAATCTACAAAGAACTCATGGAATGCCGGCAGACTATAAGGACCCTAAAAAGTAATATTGAGAAACAAAAGGAAATTATTAAATAAACAAATTAAAGATCTCAAAGAATCTGACTGAAGAATCGAGCTTCAGAATGCTGATCTTGAAATTATGCTAAAGAAAATTGAGAAGCTAGAAAATAGCAAAAAGGAGGAGAATAAGGAACTTAAGCAAATCATTGAAGACCTTGAGGAGGCCAATAAACAAAATACAAACACTATTGGAGACCAAAACAACTGCATAAAAATTTTAGAGGAGAAACTTGAAGAATGTGAAAATTCTCTAAGTTTGAAAGATGATGGAATGGAGGGAGCCATAGTTCCATATTGTTCAAGGGTCACTATCAAGCAACGAAATAGCATGTGTACGGGGTAACAATCTTTTCTTTCAAAGTTTTTGCTTTATTAGTAACTTCTTTGCTATTTGTTCTATTCTAATTGTCTTTGTTGATTTGTTAAAACTCCAAATCTTCACTCTTATTTTGTAGCATACTGATTTCAATCAAGTTTGTTATACTAATTATGGACCTATGCTTACTTGAATATTTTCTATTTGGGAAAAGTTTCGTAGGGTTGAAAGAATTCACTCAAATTAAGGTTCCTCTGAAGCTACTGCCTGCTTTATGTATTCATTGAGTTCTTGAATAGAATATCTGCAAAACTATCTTTTATCCCAGCAATTCAGTATTCTAATTATTTTTACAAAACTTTCCTTCTTTTCTTTGATTGCATCCTCTCTGAATCTATTAAGATAAGTTAATTTCATTATAAGTATACTTTCATTCCATATATCGTCATCTCTACGAATCATTGCAAGGAAAGTGTGATTTCTGTTCTGTATTTCAATTTTTAAATCAAACTGTTTTCATAATCACGAACCTATAACAATCGGATAGGATTAGCGGAGGATTTTAATACTGATCCAGTTGAAGAAAGAAAAGAGAATGAACGCACGAAACAAGACCTCACCTCTTCAAGTCAAACTTCCTTGAACCAAAAAGTCACTGACCTCTTGGAAGATTGTGGAGTTTATGATGAAGGAGAGAAACAGATACAGTTCGATCAAAAGGCTAAGCTTACTCTTGATCTCAAGAATGCTAACCATTTGGAGTTCGTAAACAAAATTGACATAAGAATTCCAGATTGAAGAAGTATTAATATTGAATCCATCCCTGAGGGGGACAAAGCTGTAAAGACTTTCCTAAACCTTTATTTCCCCAACAAGATTGAAGAGTTTAGTTTCAACTGTAATTCAGAATCTAATGATTGCCTTTCTTTCTACATGAATGAACTGAAGATATTGAGTCCGAAGGTAGATAAAAAATTGTGGATTTATAACTTCGAGGTCAGCCAGCGCCAGATGGCCACTCTCTTATCTGCCAACAAGCACAAGAGAGAGTTCGGGTTTAATTACTGCCAACTAGCCCTGTCCTCAGTCCCTGACTTCAGAGGGGCTCTCCAAGAGAGTGAACTAGAAGTATTAGGACTGAGTGGCTGAGGAGGGAGTGATCGTGGAGACTGGGAAAACAACCCGTCACATTTCGAAAATTTAGTCAAAGGCTTAGCTAAGGAAGAGGAGTTTAAGAGCAATTTGACAGCAATCTGGCTGCATTACTGAGGAATGGAGAAGAGTCAGGTAGAAGAGATCCTGAAGAGATATGGGTTTGGAGAGGTGTTAATTTATGGATGTTATTAGAAGTAAATCAAGGGATAAGATTTTCACAGAAAATTGAGTTCTTTGAAATTAAGTCTTTGATTAAAAAAATTTTACAAGTTAGTTATAGAAAAATCTGATTATTTCAATAGAAGAATAACGCTGTGGGGTTTTGGGGTTTTGGGGTTTTGGGGTTTTGGGG